AAGTTATAAGAAAATATGATTTTGCATAATCACGAAAAGATTAAGAAATTAGGGATTTTTATGCTACTATGGTAACAATAGTATTTTAAAAGTACAGTCACTACAAAAAGTAATATTGAATTTGTATATATAACAATATAGATAAATATATATATCACATTTTTTATTTTTTGTTATTTTTGATCCTAATTTTTTATTATTTTCTTCTTTTACTTTTAAATATATACTAGATAAAATTTTTTAGATGTAAACATGATATCTGTCATACCAGTAGGCAATCTTTAACAAGAATAAAAATAGTAATTTTATAAGTATCAAGTAAGTTATAAGAAAAATATAGCATAATTCAATTAAAGTATAATAATCTCTTGTTAAGTACAAAAGAAATAGAAAAAATAAAAATTTACTACTATCTGAGAGATTATAAGCTCATAACTATCAAGAAAAAAAATCCATATATACAAGAAACTTAAAAAGATATTCCAAGCAATTTCATAATATTGGTAATAAAAATCTGTGCAAAAACTAATCTGAAGATTCTCTAAGATAATTTGATCCCTTTTTTATAATATAATTTGCTCATTGCAGTTTGCTTGGTACTGATTACTCTATTTGAATTTATTTTATTTTTTTTCTAATGTAGATCAAGTTGTTCTCTCAAATTAAAAAAATGTGTTATAATCCAATAGTAATATAATGGTCTCTTGCCAAGTACAAAAGAGATAGGAAAACAAAAATTTTTTACTGTCTGAAAGATCATAGGCTTTTAAAAATCAAGAAAAAAATGCATCTATACAAGAAGCAAAAAAAGACATGAGCCATTTCACAATATTGATCTAAGAATTCTCTAAGGTAATTTGATCTGTTTTCATAATATAATTTGTTCATTGATTTGAAAGAACATGATTCATAGAAATGTCTCTAATTTATTGGTGGTGAACAATATTTTAAAATGTAAAAGCTTCTCAAGGATCACGTAAAAGCTCAAGACTACTCTGAAGGAAATTTGATGTGTTGGCTTTTGAGGAGGTTGTAGACTGAATATCTTGAGAAATTAAAGCAATATTAGAGCCATTGAAGAGTTAACAATGTATTATCTGTTGGTAAAGAATATTTTATATTTATAAGACAGAAATAAAATAAATCCGAAATTTTATTTTTAAAAAAATCGGGCGTTACTTTTTGTGGCGACTGTACATGTAATTGGGCGAGTGCAATAGAAACTATGGCAAATTGTACATGTACATTTATTAGAATTTCTAACTCAATTACTCTGTATTGCATAATAAGGTGATTCAATTTAATTTTGGAATTTTGTCGTAAATCAAAAATAATTAGACATCCCAAAATCCTGATACGGTATTTATGAATCCTCAGAAACAATGCTAAAATTTTAACAGTCTGCGCTCTAATACTCGTAAATACGTGTTAATAAAATAACAATCATGTATCATTTTCCTTGCAGCACTTATACAGAATCGACGAGTGAGAGAATGAAGAATTATCTAATACAATATCCTACTCTAACCTATACCTGCTCATATGCTAATTCCTATTCTTCTTACCTTGTTTTCACATACGTAATATTTTAGCATTTCAGGATATTGGTTTTCGGGATTTGAATTCGAGATGTTGAATAACCTGGATTTTGTTTATCATGGTTACAGACTGTACGCACTGTAGTGGTCGATTCAGCTGAAAAAGAGTAGGTAAATATTATTATTATTAGTATTCTGAAAAAAAGTTCTTTGAACTCAAGCCTATTTCAGCAAAATTGATTTTCGCATGTTGGGTAATGGGACGGGCTAAACTTTTGTCGAGCATTAAAATTTTCATTATGAATTCCAGCTGAATTCTGAGATAAACACAAGGGATCCGTTAATAGGATTGTTGACACAACTTAGTTCGTACTCTCAACAATAATTATATCATTCTCGGATGAAACTGAGCGAAAACTCGTTCTCAATGCTGCCATTATCTCGTTTTTTGAACAACGAGGTAGATCGTGCTTGCGTTATCACTAGAAGGGAGCTTGATTGTAGGTATAACTTTAACTTTACTGGTTCTTTTTGCGTTCGGAAAAAGACTCTTTGTGAATCGTGCGGAATGCAACCTCTATATTTTTCTCTGATAATCTTCCACTGAAGTATTTTCTGATGCACACTGCATACTAACTTACACATGGTTAAAAATTCAAAACCCCGACGTAGGTAAACCAATAAACCATATATAAAATGCTCGATATAGCAAAAGTAAAAAAAATACGGGATAGATATACCTTCAAATCAAATTCTTTCATCTCCTCGACAGACTTAGATCTTAAAAGCTGATTTTTGCTTCAGTAATAGTAAGATAACATTCTTTCAGATTAATCCATGGACCTACAGTGGCTCACATAAGAAATGACACACCAAAAAAAAGGCGAGATACGAATACCTCGCTATAAGAATACTTGGTGAACTATAGGCCGACAACTAAATCCTGCAAACAACTAGAATTCTGATATTCCAACATCCCGACAGTTCACAATCCCGACAATTCAACATTCCGACCGATTTTTAAGATCAGGGTAAGGGTTAGGACAGAGGACAAGATTAAATGTAAAATTGTCATCCCGAGATTCTTAATTAGCAATCAAAATAGATTTAGGTATTGGTTTTCTGTAATATTCATTTTTCATAACTTATGTAAGATTTGTTTTCCTGGGTTTGTTCAAAAGTCTACGCCTCTATTTGCACATGGACTAGTCTTTAACCGCTCCCTATTTCTGGAAATTGGATTGTCGCCTGTCGGGATTTGGGCTAAAAACTCTTTCACTAATTTTTTATTTTTTTGCAGCACTAACATCGGAAGACAAATTTACAAAAAAATGCAAAACGTGTGAAGTACTTCAAAATTATCTGATAAGTATGCAAGAATTTTAATTCGAAATTTATTCTTTCAAAATAGGCTTTTGATATAGATAATGCAACATGTATATACGTATATAATATTAGATTTCAAGTGGAAATTTAGCTGGTTTACCATCTTTAGCATTATATAACGGATACTATAAATATATCCAAGAGTGAGCACTTCATAAGGAGCAAAAAATCTTTCATCAATAGTAACCATCTGTGTTATATCCATGTGCATACTTTGATACTTGATGATATAAAAAGAAATATATATTTTCACATCATTTTCCTTCGCCTTAATGATATCACAGATTTCTTTCAAGTAGTATGCAAATTGATAATGATTCAACAATTTGTTTAATCTACTGTCGGGAGCTGATGAAAATTTTTTAGGTGGTTCAGTTGATGGTTCAACTGACGATTTAATTGGTGATTCACTCAGTGGTTTATTTGATGATTTAGTCGGTGATAATGCAGTTGGCGTCAGAAATAAGAGTTCATAATCTCCAAAATTATCTCTTGATATTTGCTCTCTTATCCATTCTAAAACTCCGCGTATATTGAAATTTCTAAATAGAGAGTAATATAATCTTGTTTCTCATTTTGCAATGACTGCATTTTCTTTAATTTCTTGAATCTCGAGGATATCTTGTTTGTGTTGATTTTGAAGTTGATTTTGAATCTTGAGGATATCTTGCTTGTGTTGATTTTGAAGTTGGTCTTGAGCCTTGAGGATATCATGTTTGTGTTGATCTTGAACCTTGAGAAGTATATCAAGAATCTCTTGTTTATGCTCGGAGTTCAGTTGATCTCGAAGTTGACCGTGAAATAAAGTGGCTTCTAATTTAAAACTTTGACGAGATAAAAAAATAGTACCTGAGAGACGTTTTATCTTATCATTATAGTGATTATCTGAAATCTGTTTACTGGTTACGAGAGGGGATAATTTTAATAGCATGACAAAAAAGAAAATGCACTTTAAGATTAAGAAAACAATAACGAAGAAGGTGATAACTGTGAGTGAAAAATTCTTGTAGAATGTAAAGCACAGTTTTATAATCATGGTAGAGTTTATTAAAAATATATACGATAAATAAATTATAATTAAGCGTAAATCATATATTTGCGGTGTTTTATCATTTGTGTGGTTATCGTTAACATGAATTGTGTGTCTTTCCGAAGTGACAGTTTCCACGTGATCATATTATGATAATTTTACTATTTCAATAAAAATCATTTAGCGTATTTAGAATATTTGGCACGTTAGAACTATATCAATAATTTTAGGGAATTGATATTTTCTTGCACCAAAGCTCTCAAGAATATTGAAGAAACTCCCGTTTGCAATACTAACCCATCAACAAGTAACTTGACGAATTGTGTAATTCATGCAATTCCGATTCCCCAGGTTTTGATGGATCGAATGATTAGCTCGATTTTCGCCACTAGACTCAAGATATAACGTAGATACCAAAACTACATATGAAGTGAGAGCGATTAATAATAGATTTATTTTGGACTTTTTTTCGGTTGCAACTGTTGTTACAATTATGTTAATAGACAGACAGTCATCAACATCGAGTTCATTAGGAGAATGGAAGTATATTTGAAGGTAAGTTTAGCTAATTATTTATTTTGCGTACAAAATTCGATTATTAACTTACAGATTCTTGAAGATAATAAACCAGTGCACATGGTAGCAACATCACTAAATCGAATAGTAATTCTTGGTAAAGGTAATTCTTTATTATACTATATCATAACAATCATAGATATTTCTAAACTAACTAACTATCTCAACGCAAAATAACCAACTGGATACAATTCAGAAGCACGTTATCACGATAACAGAACCAGATCGACCACAGAATACAATCTAGAAACAAATAAATTCAGGATGCTGAATCTGGAAACAAACACTTTTTGTTGGTTCAATCGGAGCGTTTTTCGTAAACAGAACACTGGTCGAGACGGCAGGTGTAGAGATGGGCAAATGCGCGCATAGTTCATCACTATGCGTACTATGCGCACTATGCGCATAGTACGCATATGCGCATAGTATATACATGTAATACGCATAATGATCTACATGTACAT